ATCGCAGGGGTGCACTTACCGTTAACCTGCCAGGCAAAGTAAGGGCTGGCCTAGCCCTGAGGAGCTGTGTGAGGGGCTCACAGGCTGGTGATGGCAGGGAGCTGGAGGCAAGGGGGTAACAAGGTGACACATCCTGGGTACCCCAAAAACCATGAGAGTGGGGCAGCCGACAGGAGTTGCACAGTTTGCTGGTTAGCTGTGGCTCCAAAGCCAAGCGCTTGTAAACTAGATTCTAAGCAAAGAGGCCAGGAACAGACAAGGTTACAGCTTGTTGTTTTCGGGTTGTTGATTTCGGGTAAGGGAAATAGAAGGAAAGGACGTATAAGCTGGGTGAGGTGGCCAGATGGCCGAAAGCTCCACCCCCAGGGCTGGAGGACAAAGGGGATGCAAGCTCGGAAGACCAGCCTAGCACATCCCCCAGCGAAGCGGCCCCATGGCGTGGAGACCCAGCGCGTGGAAAAGGAACGGGCGCACCAGAGCCACAAGCTGCAGAGCAAGAGGCAGAGATGGCACCCCAGCAAGCCTGGAGCTGCGGAAGCAGACTTGTCAGGCCAAGGAGCATGTGTGCAAAGTACAGAAGCCTCAGGCCCCAAGCTGCCCCCTCCGAGGGTCGCACGGCTGGGACAAACTGTGCCTAGTGACAAGGTAATGGGCTGGATTGAAGAGTAGTTAAAGGCTCTGCAGTGCACAGAACAGCCCTGAGGACTGGAAAACGGCTGTTCCACCCCCAGGGCTCACGGGTAAAGTGCTACAAGGGTTCTCACCTTATAGCTGTAAATAGTTATGACCTACAATAGGTTGAATTTGTCTCTACTGAAAAGGTTTCAGATGATGCCGGAGGCTCAGTGCCTCAAACTCAGGCTCCTCCTCCGGGGCAATAAATGGCGTGGGGAATAGCTGCATAGAACGGTTCCATTTTCGGAAAAAATGGATGAAGAGGAATGGGGCAGCCCCATGACATGCTGGGGGAGCGGATGGCACAGCTCTCTTGGGGGTTTGCACGGAGGAAGCGCGACCCGCTGGGCTGGAGAAAGCACCCACTCGCCAGTGACAGAGAGACCACCACCCTGGGCACATTGTTCCAATGGTTCATTTTACCGTTAAAATTTGTACCTTATTTTGAGTCAGAATTCATCCGGCTTAAACTTCCAGCATTGGATCTTTTCAGACCCGTGGCTGCTCGCTTGAAGAGCAATTCTGTTCCAATTTCTGTCCCCCAGGTAGGTGCTTACAGACTGTGATCAAGTCACCCCCTAACCATCTCTTTGCTAAACGAAATAGCTTGGAAAAGAGATGACTAAGGAGGGATATGATTGAGGTCTATAAATCATGGCTGGTGTGGAGAAAGTTGAGACATTATTGACATGACCTGGGGCCGTATAGATCACTGTTGCAACCAAGGTCCTGTAGTGGCACCAAATCTTGTATAAAGGGGGTAAAATGAGGTGTCTAAGACAAGGTTCGCAAAAAGAACAGGAGGACTTGTGGCACCTTAGAGACTAACCCATTTATTTGAGCATGAGCTTTCGTGAGCTACGGCTGCATCCGATGAAGTGAGCTGTAGCTCACGAAAGCTTATGCTCAAATAGATTTGTTAGTCTCTAAGGTGCCACAAGTCCTCCTGTTCTTTTTGTGAATACAGACTAACACGGCTGCTCCTCTGAAATAAGACAAGGTGATGGTTGGCTGGTTAGGATGATGCTGTCTGTGTGTATCATTTTTACAGTTAAAGTTATAAGTACTGGCTCTGTACTGTCTGTATTTCAAACCTGTGCTCTGCTTCTGGGGGACACCCCAGGTGTCAGCTCTGCCTAGCCTGCTGGATGGCCCATGAAGGACCATCAGCTACACAAGTGACCCACTGAGAGAAGGCAGACACGCCTTGGGACTCAGCCAGGTATGCAGGGACCTGCCTAGGGACTGAACTCTGAGGTGTTTCCAGGCCATGGGATGGGCAGCTTGTATTTGAGACAAAGGAAGCACAAACTACATGGCAGAGGATATAAAAGGCCCTGGAAAGCCCTCCATTTTGTCTTCAATCCTGCTTCTGACCTCTGGAGGAACCTTGCTACAAACTGAAGCTCTGAACCAAGGACTGAAGGACCCCTCCCAGCTGGGGATGTTCTCCAGAGACTTGATTTGAACCTGCCGTTTATTCCATCGCTGCCACAAGCCTGAACCAAGAACTTTGCCATCACTGTATGTCATTGATTCCATTTCACCAATTCTAGCTCTCGTCTCTATCTTTTCCCTTTTATGAATAAACGTTTAGATTTTAGATTCTAAAGGGTTGACAACAGCGTGATTTGTGGGTAAGATCTGACTTGCATATTGACCTGGGTCTGGGGCTTGGTCCTTTGGGATCGAGAGAACCTTTGTTCTTTTACTGGGGTATTGGTTTTCATAACCAGTCGTCCCCATAACGAGTGGCCCTGGTGGGGATACTGGGAAACTGGAGTGTCTGAGGGAATTGCTTGGGTGACTGGTGGTTAGCCAGTGGGGTGAAACTGAAGCCTTCTCTGGCTGGCTGGTTTGGTTTCCCTTGGTGTGCACAGAAACCCCAGCCTGGGGCTGTAACTGCCCTGCTCTAAGCAATTTGTTCTGAATTGGTACTCTCAGTTGGGTCCCACCAAAGCCAGCATCATTACAAAAGCAAATAAGGAAGTGTTTGCAAAAAGAAAAGGAGTACTTGTGGCACCTTAGAGACTAACCAATTTATTTGAGCATGAGCTTTCGTGAGCTACAGCTCACTTCACAAGCACTCCTTTTCTTTTTGCAAAGACAGACTAACACGGCTGTTACTCTAAAAAGGAAGTGTTATTTACTCCTTCCCCAGTTCCACCTCAGCTCCCTCCTAAAGTCAGGCCATGCTGGTTAGCCCTCCTCCTTCCCCGGGGTCACCACATGAAATTAATAGGCAGCAGGTTTAAAACAAAGAAAAGGAAGTATTTCTTCACAGAACTCAGTCAACCTGTGGAACTCCTTGCCAGAGGATGTTGTGAAGGCCAACTCTATAACAGGGTTCAAAAAAGAACTAGATAAGTTCATGGAGGATAGGTCCATCAATGGCTATTAGCCAGGAGGGGCAGGAATGGTGTCCCTAGCCTCTGTTTGCCATAAGCTGGGAATGAGCAACAGGGGATGGATCACTTGATGATTCCCTGTTCTGTGCATTCCCTCTGGGGCACCTGGCATTGGCTGCTGTGGGAAGACAGGACACTGGCTAGATGGACGTTTGGTCTGGCCCAGTGTGGCTGTTCTTTTGAGTCTATCACTCTAGGGCAGGTTTTCTAACCCTTTAATTATTCTCATAGCTGAACCCTCTCATTTATCAACATCCTTCTCGACTCGTGGACACCAGAACTGGGCACAGGATCCGAGCAGTGGTCGCACCAGTGCCAAGTGTAGAAGTACAATCACGTCTCTGCTCCTACCTGAGATGCCTGTTCATGCACCCCAGGATCACATCAGCCCTTCCGGCCACAGCCTGACCTGGGAGCTCCTGTTCAGCTCATTATCCACCATGGCCTCCCAAATCTTCTCCAGAGTCCCCCATCCTGTAAGCGTGGCTGCACTCGGTGTTCCTAGATGTACATTGACATCAGAACACCCAGTTTGCTGAGGCCCACTGTACCAAGCAGTGCGGATCACGCTGTATCGGTGATCTGTCTCCTCACCAATTACCACTCCTCCCATTTGTGTGTCATCTCCACACTTTACCAGTGATGAGTTGATGTTTTCTTCTAGATCGCTGATAAAAGTGTTAACTCGCACAGGGCCAAGGACCAAGCCCTGTGGCCCCCCAGGCACGCACCCGCTTGCTTGTAAGGGTCCCCTAACAATGACAGCGTGAGACCTGTCAGCCAGCATTTAACCTGGGCCAGGTTCATTGTTTAGCATTCTAGTTTCCTAATGAAACTGTCATGTGAAAGCAAGTCCGAGACTGCACCGCAGGTACCAGCTACCTTCACCTGCTGCTCCCACCCCCGTAACCGCTCCAAAGAACAATGCCAGCTCCATCCCCATGCCCCCAAACTGATCTGCATTCATCGCATCACCCTCCCGTCATTCTTTATTAATCCAGACCCTTACCAGCTGCTCCATTTCCGTGCCCGGGATCGATGTCGGACTGACAGGCCGGTAATTACCTGGGTCACAGCTTTGCCCTTTCTAACTTTGGGCAGGGTAGTGCCCAGCAGGGTGGGAGGGCCAGGGGGGCCATGAGGCTCAGGGCCAGGCGATGGTGGTGGGGTGCCTGGCACTGGGGTGCAAAGTGGGGGACACAGGCAGGAGGAGGGCTCCTGTGTGGGATCAAGGCGCTCAGGGAGGAAGGGGGTCAGCGTTTCAGGAGAACATGGTAGGGGCTGGACTAGTTCCCTTGTCCGCCCCAGCCCATGACCCCCTTGGCTGGGGCAGCTGCAGGAGGCAGCAACGGGCTCGGGCTTCCCCTTGGCTCTGTTCTCCCAGGGTGCGGCATGGCCACCCCTGGGAGGAGGAAGGGAGGCAAATAAACCCCTGACTCACCCTGAATGAGGCCAAGCTCCTCGGGACATCTAGTGAGTTAGACCGGGGGGACCCCAATGGGCAGGGAGGGCCAGGGGCACCCACCGAAGGGGGATGGGTGCAGAGCCATGGCACAAGGGGAGGGCAGGAGAAATGGGGAGTCAGCCTTGGAGCCCTGCCCCACATCACAGCTGGGATCCCCCCCAGTCCACACAGGACCTGACCCCCTCCCGAATTGGTGTAAACCTGGCATTTCCCAGCTCAAGGGCCCTTCTCCCCCGGACTCCTGGGTTCCATCCCTGGCTGCTCACAGGTGTGCCTGTGCACAAGGCCAGGCCCCCTAGACTGCCCCCTCGGCCATGCGCCCTCAGCCCAGACCCTCCCAAGCCAGCCCCCCTCTCCGCGCCGGGCCGGGAAACCGGAAATGGCCCTTTGTACCTAACTGAGGCCCCGGCTCCTCCCCACGCCGGCGGGCCCTGGCCGCAAAGAGACAGGGCAGCACTCGACTACTTTATTGGGCCTCCAAAGCTTTAAATACAGACCAGAGCCGGCTCCGCGCAGGACAGAGGCAAGGGCAGATCCCCTGTTTGTCGGACTGGGGCGGGGGGCCAAGATCCCCCCCCCCGACCCCCACCCCCAGTGGCTCACTGCCCGGGTCGTGGAGCCGAGGCCAAGGGGGGTGGGGCGATGTAGAGCCAGGCCCCGGCCCTGCGGTGACATGGCGGCTGGCGGTGCTGGGGAGGAGACGAAGGAGAGACGGCGGCATGGTGGCTGCGGTGGGGCCGGAGCCCGGGGCCTCCCCTAGCGGCTGTAGCCGAATTCATCCGCGTCGTCGGCCCGGAAGTCTCCATAACGCCACAGATTCAGCTGCAGGGGAGAAGGGCAGAGGTGAGAGCCATGCTGGGCCGGGGAGAGGCCTCCTGCTCCCCCTCCGCCCTGCCCCACAGGCCCCCCTGCCTGGCTGCTCCCCCCAGACCCTCCCACTGTGTTCCCCACCCACACAAACCTGACCCCACCCCAACCAGCCTTCAGGCCTCCCCTGCAGAGCAGGAGCCAGCACTGGCCCTGCTCCAGCTGCCCTGGGGCTGGGGGACAGGCCGTTGCGAAGCCTGATCTGGGCCGGGCGCAGGGGCCTGGACTCACCCGGTTGGTCTTGGCCAGCTCCTGCGCGTTCAGGTACTCGGTGATCTGCACGAGACAAAGGCCGTCACGGGGGGTGGGGATGCTTCTCTCCCGCTGGGCCTGGCCCCACCTGAGCCATGCCCCCCAATTGCCCACCGTGCCAGGTCACCTGGGGATTCCCGGGGCCGGGGAGCTCAGCAGCGAGATCAGAGCGTGGGGGGCCTGAGTTAGACAATTCCCGTCACCCCCAGTGAGTGAGCGTGCGTGTGTGTGTGTGTGTGGGGGTGTCAGCAGGAAATCATCAAAGCCCGGGTCAGGCTCAAGTCGCGGTTCCCCCACATTGGGCCAGAGCCGCAGGCCAAGCCCATGGACCCCCCATCCTGCTCCCGCTCCACAGGGGAGGGGTTCATGTACCACTTTCTGGAACTGCTTCTCCTTCCGCGCCTCCACCATGACCAGCCCCTCCTTGACCAGCCCCAGCCCCACGTCGCCCTTGGAGTCGGCGAACTGCAGGGTGACTTGGGGGCAGCTGGGCCCGAGGTGCTCCACGTTCAGCAGGCACTGGGTGTTCTGGATGTCCCGGACCACGCTGTCCACCGCGTCGGCACGTGCGTCATCCTGGAAGAGCCGGGAGAGAGACCGTCGCCGCAGGGCTGGGCACGGACGATGCGTGTGGCCGGAGCCGTCATCGGGAGCCAGGCCCGGTACTGAGCGCACAGGGGCAGTGTGGAGTGTGCCGGAGGGGTGTGCAAAGCCGGACAGAGAAGGGGAGGGACGGCTGGACAGAGATGGACACATGGAGAGAATGGCCGATGCGATCGGCCCCTCCCTGGAGTCGGGAAGAGATGTATTTTGCCTACTGTGGGCAGCAGGGCTCTGGGCAGGTTGGGTCCAGGCCCTGCGCCTATGGGGAGCCCCCCGCTCCACCTCCATGGGGAGCCCCGCCCCTGCCCCACCCCCTGGGATCCCTGCCCCTGCATACTTACATCCTGTGGCACCTGGATGAAGGCAAACTTGTACTCGATGGCCTGGGCGGGCAGGATGCGGGTGCTGAAGGCAGGCGGCAGGGTGCCCAGGCGCGTGGAGGGCAGGGTCTCCTTCTGCACAGAGAGCAAAGGGACTGTGGGGTCAGGGGCCCCCCAGGGCGGCGGGCGCTCCGGCACGGCGGGCAAGCTCTCCCGCTGCATGTCATGGCAGCGCAGCAGGGCCAGAGGATCTCCCCCCGCCGAGCACCTAGCCCGGCCGAGGCGGGGACCCGAGTGTGGCAGTGAGGGGAACAGCCAAGCCGCGCCTGCCCCGGGCGATACACAGCAGGGTGGGGGCAGGGAGACCAGTGCTGCTTTACCCCCAGCCCGAGGATCTCAGAGCTTGGGTGCCAGGTGGGTGGGCAGGTTTCCGACCCTCTGCACTGGAACCGTGTGATCCCCGCGCCCGCGTTCCCGTCTCAGCTCGTCCGCTGGGGCCGCTGCGGCTTGGCCCTTCGTCAGCTCGCTGCTGACACCCGCGACCCTAAGCTCTCCAGTGGTGGCTGGGGAGGGAAAGCCGCCGAGCCTAGGCACCGAGCCGTGGCAGATTGCCCCGCGGCCCCCAGGCCCAGACACAGCTGCCGGGTGCAGGACTCGGCCTGGCCATCGTGCGATGACCCCGGGAACTGACAGCAGGGTGCGGGAGGGGAGCCAAGCTTTGGCAACCGCCAGCCCAAGGCTGGGGCTGAGTGGGCAACAAGGGGGCCTCCTGTGCACGGCTCTGCCCTGCGGATCTCAAAGCGTCCAGGTCTGGTCGTGCTGGAGGCAAGCGGCCCTGCCGCTGGCTCTGCTTAGCCAGGCCGCTGGGGTGGTCAACGTGCCGGCGGCCGCCCAGCTGGCCACGGTGTCCCCATGGAGGGGCCAGGTACTCACGTTGCCGTAGTCGATGTAGAAGATGTGCACCCTGGCTGGCGACTCCACCTTCTCCACGCGGGCCCGGTACCTGGCCAACAGGAAACACGGGTGAGAACTAGCCCCACGCGCCCCAGCCACGCAACAGACAGGACCAGGCCGACGGGACCGAGAGAGAGACCGACTGGGGCAGAGAGCCCCCTAGACAGACCCCCCAGTGGGCTCCGGAGGTCCAGCCCGAACCCAGCCCTGCTCAGACCCCCCAGCGCTGCCCCTCCCCTGCTGTACCTGCCCCCAGGCCAGGCTCCACGCCCAGATGAGCAGCCAGCCCAGCAGCCGAGAGGGGAGGAACAGATTAATGGGCCCTTGGAGCATAAAGCACCGTGACTAATGAACAGATTGATGTGCGCTGCTTAAACCAACACGCTCGCCATGGAGGTAATTAGCCAGCAGATCCGGCCTCGGGCTTTGCACCGACAGAGACGCCCATGGTGGGACAGACACCTCAGCTTTGCCCTACCACAGAGCCAGGCTTCTTCCCCCCGAGGCAGCGGGAGACAGAACCGAGAGCCTGGCAGCCACTGACTGTGGGCTGGGCCTGGCGCGCCCCGCATGGCTCTCCGGGAGCCGGGCACGGAGTCCCTGCACAGAGCCCCCCGGGAGAGATCTGCACCCCAGTGCAGGCCTCCGGAGCAGCAGCTGATTCCAGGGGGGCAGGCGCAGAGCCCCTCGCTGAGCGCCCTCTCCTCACCAGGCGGAGGCCTGGGCCTGGCAGAGGGAACCCCCACTGGCCTTCCCTGGGTGTGAGAGCAAACAGCAGCCTCCACCCGAGCCCCTGCCGAGGCCCCAGCTTTGCTCAGCGCCCAGCAGGGGGCGATGCCCACCAGAGGGGGCTGCAGGAGCCAGTGCAGATAGAATGGGGGCTGCCCTGCTGGAGCGGGGGGCGAGGAGGGTAAGGCAGGTTGGAGCAGAGATGCCGCTGCTGGGGGTTCAGACCAAGGCACAGCTGAGCGCCCCCCCGGCTCGTGCTCCGCCGCATGGGGCGGGGAGAGGGCGGGGGTGCAGCTGGCTGGGACCCGCAGTGCCGAGGTGTGAACACAGCTGTCCCACAGCATCAGCAACGTCAACGCCACTCACAGCTGCCCAGGTGCTGGCAAGCTCCCCGCCTCCCCCAGCTGCCCAGCACACTCGGGGGCTGCGTTTCCCATCTGTCTGTTCCCCCTGGCAGCAGGAGGGTGGGTCGGGGCTTGCGGCCCCCGGAGGGGGTGGGAGCAGCCTAGCAGCCAGGTTGAAGGTGGCTTCTCCCTGCAGCATGGAGGAGGGTCCTATCACCAGCGAGCTCTATGGCCGTGCCACGCCGGGGCAGGGCAGTGTCTGGTGGTGCCACTCAGGGCCATGTCCCTTCCCAGCCACGGCAACCAGCCTGGCCCCAGGGTTGGAGTGGGCACCATTCCTGGGGGCAGAGGTGTATGTGCACTGAGAGCCTGCTCATCTCAGGGACGTGGGCCCCGGGCCGGCTCTGCTGGGCATGACTGGCTGTGGCTGCTCGCTGTGACCTGGATTCCACTGACACCCCACAGAGAAAGCTGGCGTGAGGTCTCTCCTCCCCACTCAGAAAGGTGCGACCCCCACCACAGGCATTCTTGGCACCAGTTCAGTTCTACCCTCCCCCCGTCCCCGAGCTGCCCTGGCTCTTGCCTGCCAGCAATCCCCCTGCTGGGCCTGGGGCCAGCGGTTCCCGAACCCTCCCATCCTGCCCTGGGAGGCTGCAGGGTGAACAGACACGGCTGGGATGGGGACAGCCCTCCTCCTGTGTCCACCCCGCCCCGTATTACTGCACTGAGCCAGCGCCCCCTCCTGGGCTAAGGCCCAGCCCTGGCTCCCGGGGCACTATTCTCAGGCATGGCATTCAGCAGGAGCTGGTGTATCCAGCGCATGCCCAGCGGCGCTGCAGCCAGAGCCCTGCCCCCACGTCCATGGGGAGAGGACGCCCCCCAGCTGGCCACGTGGCTCCGTGCCCGGCCCAGGGACTGCTGTGAGGGCAGCTCTGTGGCTCACCATTCCCCATCCACAAACTTAGCGATGCAGTAGTCCCCGCGGCGCGGCATGTAGGACCCTTCCACGGGCGGGTGGCTGGCGATCTCGCTTCTCATATTCTCCATCAGCTTCTCCAGCTGGGTCCCTGCAGGGGGAGAGACCTGGTCAGGCAGGGGGCACCTGTCAGAGCCAGTCCAAGGGCCAGGCTGCCTGGGCACTAAGTGCAGAGCGAGCGGCCTGGCTGGGTTTAATTAGAACATAACATAAGAACATAAGAATGGCCAGACTGGGTCAGACCAAAGGTCCATCCAGCCCGGTATCCTGTCTACTGACAGTGGCCAATGCCAGGTGCCCCAGAGGGAGTGAACCTAACAGGTAATGATCTAGTGATCTCTCTCCTGCCATCCCTCTCCACCCTCTGACAAACAGAGGCTAGGGACACCATTCCTTCCCCATCCTGGCTAATAGCCATTAATGCACTTAACCTCCATGAATTTATCCAGTTCTCTTTTAAACCCTGTTATAGTCCTAGCCTTCACAACCTCCTCAGGCAAGGAGTTCCACAGGTTGACTGTGCACTGAGTGAAGAAGAACTTCCTTTTATTTGTTTTAAACCTGCTGCCCATTAATTTCATTTGGGGGCCCCTAGTTCTTATATTATGGGAACAAGTAAATAACTTTCCCTTATTCACTTTCTCCACACCACTCATGATTTTATAGACCTCTATCCTATCCCCCCTTAGTCTCCTCTTTTCCAAGCTGAAAAGTCCTCACCTCTTTAATCTCTCCTCAGAGGGGACCCGTTCCAAACCCCGAAACATTTTAGTTGCCCTTTTCTGATGCCAGTCTATCTTTTTGGGGATGAGGAGACCCCAACTGTATGCAGTATTCAAGATGTGGGCGTACCATGGATTTATATAAGGGCAATAAGATATTCTCCGTCTTATTCTCTATCCCTTTTTTAATGATTCCTAACATCCCGTTTGCTTTTTTGACTGCTGCTGCACACTGCGTGGACGTCTTCAGAGAACTATCCACGATGACTCCAAGATCTTTCTCCTGATCAGCTGTAGCTAAATTAGCCCCCCGTCATATTGTATGTACAGTTGGGGTTATTTTTCCCAATGTTCATGACTTTACATTTATCCCCATTAAATTTCATTTGCCATTTTGTTGCCCAATCACTTAGTTTTGTGAGATCTTTTTGAAGTTTTTCACAGTCTGCTTTGGTCTTAACTATCTTGAGCAGTTTAGTATCATCTGCAAACTTTGCCACCTCACTGTTTACCCCTTTCTCCAGATCATTTATGAATAGGTTGAATAGGATTGGTCCTAGGACTGACCCTTGGGGAACACCACTAGTTACCCCTCTCCATTCTGAAAATTTACCATTTATTCCTACCCTTTGTTCCCTGTCTTTTAACCAGGTCTCAATCCATGAAAGGATCTTCCCTCTTATCCCATGACAACTTAATTTACGTAAGAGCCTTTGGTGAGAGACCTTGTCAAAGGCTTTCTGGAAATCCATAGAGAAAGAAAAGGAGTACTTGTGGCACCTTAGAGACCAACCAATTACATGTGGATTCATTTAAGATTTTTATTTCATTTGATTCTACATTTTTTTTCACATATAGTGCCCCCCCCCCCCGCATGACCTGTTCTGTCCTTCTGATATATTTTGTACCCCAGAATGATTGAGTCCCATTGATTGTCCTCACTCCACCAGGTTTTTGTGATGCCTGTTATATCAATATCCTCCTTTAACCAGCGAGGTTAATGACCAGGGAGGAGTATAAAAATATTGCTCAGGCATGCGGGAGTGAAATCAGGAAGCCCAAATCACACCTGGAGTTGCAGCTAGCAAGAGATGTTAAGAGTAACAAGAAGGGTTTCTTCAGGTATGTTAGCAACTTACTGAATGGGGGAGGCAACCTAGTGCAAAGGATGTGAAAAAAGCTAATGTACTCAATGCTTTTTTTGCCTGTCTTCACAAACAAGGTCAGCTCCCAGATGGCTGCACTGGGCAGCACAGCATGGGGAGGAGGTGACCAGCCCTCTGTGGAGAAAGAAGTGGTTCAGGACTATTTAGAAAAGCTGGACGAGCACAAGTCCATGGAGCCGGATGCACTGCATCCGAGAGTGCTAAAGGAGTTGGCGGATGTGATTGCAGAGCCATTGGCCATTATCTTTGAAAACTCATGGCGATCAGGGAAGGTCCCAGACGACTGGAAAAAGGCTAATGTAGTGCCCATCTTTAAAAAAGGGAAGGAGGAGGATCCGGGGAACTACAGGCCAGTCAGCCTCACCTCAATCCCTGGAAAAATCCTGGAGCAGGTCCTCAAGGAATCAATTCTGAAGCACTTAGAGGAGAGGACAGTGATCAGGAACAGTCAGCATGGATTCACCAAGGGCAAGTCATGCCTGATTAATCTAATTGCCTTCTCTGATGAGATAACTGGCTCTGTGGATGAGGGGAAAGCAGTGGACGGGTTGTCCCTTGACTTTAGCAAAGCTTTTGACACTGTCTCCCACGGTATTCTTGCCAGCAAGTTAAAGAAGTATGGGCTGGATGAATGGACTATAAGGTGGATAGAAAGCTGGCTAGATTGTCGGGCTCAATGGGTAATGATCAATGGCTCCATGTCTAGCTGGCAGCCGGTATAAAGCGGAGTGCCCCAAGGGTTGATCCTGGGGCTGGTTTTGTTCAATATCTTCATTAATGATCTGGAGGATGGTGTGGATTGCACCCTCAGCAAGTTTGCAGATGACACTAAACTGGGAGGAGAGGTAGATACGCTGGAGGGGAGGGATAGGATACAGAGGGACCTAGACAAATTGGAGGATTGGGCCAAAAGAAATCTGCAGTTGTCCTTGTTGAACCTCATCAGAGTCCTGCACTTAGGACGGAAGAATCCCATGCACCGCTACAGACTAGGGACCAAATGGCTCGGCAGCAGTTCTGCAGAAAGGACCTAGGGGTTACAGTGGACGAGAAGCTGGATATGAGTCAACAGTGTGCCCTTGTTGCCAAGAAGGCCAATGGCATTTTGGGATGTATAAGTAGGTGCATAGCGAGCAGATGGAGGGACGTGATCATTCCCCTTTATTCGACATTGGCAAGGCCTCATCTGGAGTACTGTGTCCAGTTTTGGGCCCCACACTACAAGAAGGATGTGGAAAAATTGGAAAGCGTCCAGCGGAGGGCAACAAAAATGATTCGGGGGCTGGAACACATGAGTTATGAGGAGAGGCTGAGGGAACTGGGGATGTTTAGTCTGCGGAAGAGAAGAATGAGGGGGGGACTTGATAGCTGCTTTCAACTACCTGAAAGGGGGTTCCAAAGAGGATGGATCTAGACTGTTCTCCGTGGTGGCAGATGACAGAACGAGGAGTAATGGTCTCAAGTTGCAGTGGGGGAGGTTTAGGTTGGATTTAGGAAAAATTTTTTCACTAGGAGGGTGGTGAAACACTGGAATGTGTTACCTAGGGAGGTGGTGGATTCTCCTTCCTTAGAGATTTTTAAGATCAGGCTTGACAAAGCCCTGGCTGGGATGATTTAGTTGGGGATTGGTCCTGCTTCGAGCAGGGGCTTGGACTAGATGACCTCCTGAGGTCCCTTCCAACCCTGATTATTCTATGACTCTATGATTAACATGAGGCAGCCTAGTTCACCCATCTTATTATTTAGACTTCTAGCATTTGTGTACAAGCACTTTAAAAACTTGTCACTGTTTATCTGTCTGCCCTTTTCTGATGTGTCAGATTCTTTGTGTGAATGTTTCTCGTCTCATCTGGCCCATACTTTGTCCTCTTCCATCCTCTCCTCCTGACTAAACCCTAGAGAATCTCTATCAATAGACTCTCCTCTAAGAGAAGTCTCTGTCTGATCCACGTGCACCTCTGCAGCCATCGGCTTTCCCCCATCTCTTAGTTTAAAGACAGCTCTGCAATCTTTGTAATGTTTAGTGCCAGCAGCAGCCTGGATCCACTCTGGTTTAGGTGGAGCCCATCCTTCCTGTATAGGCTTCCCCATCCCAAAAGTTTCCCCAGTTCCTAATAAATCTAAACTCCTCCTCCCGACACCATCGTCTCATCCACACATTGCGACTCTGAAGCTCTGCCTGCCCACCTGGCCCTGCGCCTGGAACTGGAAGCATTTCTGAGAACGCCACCCTAGAGGGCCTGGATTTCAGTCTCTTTCCTAGCAGCCTAAATTTGGCCTCCAGGACGTCTCTCCTACCCTTCCCTACGTCACTGGTACCTACATGTGCCATGACCACTGGCTCCTCCCCAGCGCTCCACATAAGCCTATCTAGATACCTTGAGAGATCTGCAACCTTCGCACCAGGCAGGCAAGTCACCATACGGTTCTCCCGGTCATCACAAACCCAGCTCTCTATGTTTCTAATGATCCAATCTCCCATTACTAACACCTGCCTTCTCCTAATGACTGGAGTTCCCTCCCCCGGAGAGGTAAACTCAGTGCGAGAGGATACCCCATCATCATCTGGAAGGGGGGTCCCAACTATGGGAAGGTTTCCCTCTGTTCCCGTTAACTGCTCTCATTCTCTGAGCCTTTCATCCTCCTTAACAGCGCAGGGGCTGTCTGACTGGAGGTGGGACAAATCTAGTGTGTCCTGGAAAGCCTCATCAACTTACTTCTCTGCCTCCCTTAGCCCCTCCAGTTCCGCCACCGTGGCCCCAAAGCCTGTACATGGTCTCTGAGGGCCAGGAGCTCCTTGCACCGAATGCACACATACGCCACCCGCCCACCGGGCAGGTAATCACACATGCTACACTGAGTACAATGAACAGGAGAGCCCCCACTCGGCTGCTGGGCTTCTGCCTGCATTCTCTCCTACAGCTGCCTGGGTTAATGATAGGGTTTTGGTTTAAATCAAGAAGTTTTGATTATAGTTTAGTGTAAAGGTTTTAAAGAATGGCAAGTGTACCTCACCCCCTTCCCACTCCCCTGCCAAACTCCCTCTCGAAACTCCCTGTTAGCGGCCCCTGGTCGCACGCTCACTGCTTGATAAAGCCCGGCCTCCTTGATAGCCCCGCCCCTGACTAAGGCTCAGCCAATGAACAGAGGCGTCTAGATTTCAAACCTTGTTTAGAAGCTCACAGCTTCCAACTGCCGGCCACAGCACACGGTCCTTCGGACAGACAGACAGACACACACAAGCTCAGCACCCAGCACGTAAGCACCAAACACAAACACACTGCAGACAGCCACGCGGCGGAGCTCGCGGTGCCCCCGCTAACCCCGGCCGCCTTGCACCGATGCCGCGGCGGCTCCTTACAGGGCGAGACCCTCCCGTCTGACGCATGACGCAGGCATGGCACTGCCCCGAACCAGAGCAGAGCCACCCTTCGTTTCCAAATAATGCCCCCCGAGCCTCGGTACGGTATTCCACTGATTATTTACCCTCCCTGTTCAACCGCCCAAATTGGTCTTGCTGCAGCTTCCCGCCCTGGGATCGCGTTCGACCTCCCTCTGCTAGGCCGACGAGCCCCTGAGCAAATACCTGTCCCCAGGTAGGTGCCGACAGACTGGGATCAGGTCACCCCTTCGCCGCGTCTCTGTGATGCTGAATAGCCTGAGCTCAAGCCTCTCACTCATAGAATCATAGAATATCAGGGTTGGAAGGGACCCCAGAAGGTCATCTAGTCCAACCCCCTGCTCGAAGCAGGACCAATTCCCAGTTAAATCATCCCAGCCAGGGCTTTGTCAAGCCTGACCTTAAAAACCTCTAAGGAAGGAGATTCTACCACCTCCCTAGGTAACGCATTCCAGTGTTTCACCACCTTCTTAGTGAAAAAGTTTTTCCTAATATCCAACCTAAACCTCCCCCACTGCAGCTTGAGACCATTACTCCTCGTTCTGTCATCTGCTACCATTGAGAACAGTCTAGAGCCATCCTCTTTGGAACCCCCTTTCAGGTAGTTGAAAGCAGCTATCAAATCCCCCCTCATTCTTCTCTTCTGCAGGCTAAACAATCCCAGCTCCCTCAGCCTCTCCTCATAAGTCATGTGTTCCAGACCCCTCATCATTTTTGTTGCCCTTCGCTGGACTCTCTCCAATTTATCCACATCCTTCTTGAAGTGTGGGGCCCAAAACTGGACACAGTACTCCAGATGAGGCCTCACCAATGTACTCCAAGGCAGGTTTCAAAGCCTTTAATCCAGCGCTCCCCAAACTTTTCACGATCACGCCCCGCTTTACCCTTGTCCGCACCCCCCCGCCCTCTTGGGAGCCAGGAGCAGGGACACGGCTCGGGAGGGGAAGAAGGCGCAGACAGAGGTAAGGGGGCCGAGGCTGGGGCTGCAGCTGGGGGTGGGTCTGGGGCCAGGAATGGAGCCATGGTCTGGTTCAAGGCTGGGACCAGGAACGGAGCCGTGGCTGTGGGCAGGGCTGTGGCGGGGAGCGGATCTGCAGTCGGTGTGAGGCTGGGGCTGGGGGCACCGGGAGCAGAGCCGCAGCTGTGGGCCAAAGCTGGGCTGGGGCTGGAGCAGAGCTGGGGGTGGAGCAGGGCTGGGTGCCACTCCCCCCCCCCCCGTGACGAAGAGGGACTGTTCTTAATGTTTCCTCTGAATATTGTGGGGGTGCCTCAGTTTCCCCTAGGCAGTTCTTAAATATCTAGGTGGTGGGATAAGGGTGTATGATCATTACAGAGCCCTAGGTGTGTGCAGGGGTCTAGACACAGAGAATGGCCGACACCCTGTTTCCTGGCACCTGGTGGCCTGGTCCTTCCCCCCTGCAAGGTGAGAGCTAAAGGGTTGGAGAACAAAGGGATCTGGTGACCTCCTGGCCCAAGAAAGGGACAAAGCCCAGAGGAGGAGGGGCTGGAGGGAGAGTCAGTTTGGGGCTGGCTGGGGACGAGGAGTGAAGTGCAGACTCACTGCCCCCCAAAATGGACCCAGCTGAGGGGTCCTGTTCTCTGCACCTACAACCTCTGTTTTAGACCATGTTCCTGTTGTCTAATAAACCTTCTGTTTTACTGGCTGGCTAAGAGTCCTGTCTGCGGAGTTGGGGGGCAGGACCCTCTGGCTTCCCCAGGACTCCGCCTGGGCAGACTCGCTGTGGGAAGCGCACGGAGGGGCAGAGAAGGCTGAATGCTCCGAGGTCAGACCCAGGAAGGGGGAAGCTGGGTGAGCTGTGTGTCCTGCAGACAGGCTGCTCACAGAGAGGAGACTTCACCCGAGTCGTGCCTGGCTTTGTAGGGAGCAGTTCCAGAGCATCGCCCCGGGACTGCGTGACACCCCCCTCCAGGGTTCTGGTTCCTGGCTCTGGGGAGGGAAGTGGGGTCTAGTGGTTACAGCAGGGAAGTCTGGGAGTCAGGACTCCTGGGTTCTATTCCCAGCTCTGCCAGGGGGCGAGCACACCTCTCGCAGGGCTGGGCCTGGCATCTATTCGCTGAGTATTGGGGTGGCACTGCAGGGCTCCATTGCTGCGCCAGGCCGGCCCCAGGCTCCCTACAATCATCACCTCGTAATTAAACAGGGCGGGGGAGGAATAGCGGTATGGAGGAAGCAGAGCGGCAGCACCCAGGCTGCAGGGAGATGGCTGGACAGACCGGGCAGCTTCTGGGGAGCTGGAGCCTCGCCCCCGCTGGCCAGAGGAGGGGAAGTAGCCGAGCTGCTCCCCGTGGCCCCAACCCCATCACCCACCCTCCCCATGAGCCTGTCCTGCCCCATGGCCCTCCCCGGCTCTGCTGCACGGCCCCTCATGTAGCTAGTGCCCAGGCGGGCCAAGCTGCAAGAGGAGCTGGTGCAGCTACGGGCATGAGCGTGGGGAGAGGCCCCCATCCAGGCCTCGCTCGGCGGCTCCACTCGTTACTGAGGGCCTGGTGCTGCCCACACCCTGCTGGCCACATGGCCTCACCCGGCCCAGCTGGGCAGGGAGCAGTGGAGATGCCGGGGGGGACGGGCCCTCTGTGACTCAGCTCTGATTCCTCATGGCTGGTCCCTGAGCTCGCAGCTCCCAGCCAGACGGGAACAGCTGCCCACAGGCCCCAGAGGAAGGAGAGGGGAGTGGGGGCAATCCTGCCCCACTGGGGAATGGGTCTCCCCGCAGCCTTGTCCCACCCCACTGCGGTTACACGATCGCCCCCCATGCCCCAAGGCTGGGCTCGGGAGCCGCCCCGCACCTGTCTCCACGTCCTGCACGTAGAAGTGCAGCTCGTCGGTGATCTCCGTCACGAAGACAGGCTTGTAGCTGGTGGTTCGCGCCTTCTCCTCCAGCACTGGCATCACCTCCTCCGCCGGCGCCTCCTCATACTGGGACCAGACCTGCCGGGGAGAGGAGACTGGGGCTGAGAGACGGAGCGGGCGAGGGGCACTGAAATGGGATCAGAGTGTCAACCCGAGTTGTTCTCCACGGGACCCCCTGGCCCAGCGCTGACCCAGTGCACCGTGCAGCCTCTGCTCCCGGGAGCCCAGGGCTGGCACCGCTGGAGTCCCATGGGGCTCCCCACACAGCTATGCAACAGCCCTGCCTGGGACCCCACTGTGTTCTAGGTGGGGAAACTGAGGCACAGGGTGGGTGAAGGGCTCTCTCCACAGGCACAGAGCACTCCTGCAGCAGCACCAGGAACTGAACCCAGGAGTCCTGACTCCCAGGCCTCTCGTCTAACCACTAGACCCCAGTTGGCACCTGGAGAGCTGGTGCAGGGAAGGGAGCCAGCCACAACCAGCGCGGCCAACTCGCTCCCCACCCCGCTGGCACTAGGTGCGGGTTCATTCCCCAGCAGGGCAGGGCCCAGATACTGGGAGACACAGCCCTGCCTGCTACGGACTCAGCCACCTCTCCAGGCTGGGGTCCTGTCTTATTTCTGGCACCAGATTTTCCCAGAGCTGATGGGCCCATCCTGCAGCCCGCCAGGTGTCCAGGCCTTTGACGCTGCAGCCCCGTGTGTGGAGAGGCCCGCCTGTCTATTAACCCAAACCCAACGCACTCCCCCCAAAAAGATTGGGGCCGTCCCTGGCCGGGGGCCAACCGGACCAACGGTGGTGCATGCTCGGGACCGTACAGGAACTGGCAGCCTCAGGGCCGCCCGGGGAGCTCAGAGGGGAGGGCTCCTAGCACGGGTGTGTTATTAATCATCCAAAGCTCCCTTTCTCTGGGCCAGACTCTGCTCCGGCTTCACCACCTGCTCCTGGGTGACTCTGGATTCACACCAGATGCAGCAGCCCATGGCCTGGAGCCACCGGGAGGGGGAAGGACCCTGGGGTAGCACAGACCAGATAGACAGGGCGCAGCACGGGCCCCAGGGCATGGCCAGGCAGCTGGGAGATGCCGGAATGGCAGTTCCACCCTACCAACCCCGGCTGGAGCCAGTGCGGCTCAGGTGCCCTGCAAGGGGCAGTGCCCAGCCAGCCCGGCCCATGCCCACGTCCTGGGAAGGGCGCAGCTGTCGAGCGGTGACCTCTCCTCGCCCCGCCTGGCGCTCCCCTAGCCCTGCGCTGAGCGGAGCCATCACCCCGGCGTTCAGGATGGCAGGAACGGGCTGGGACGCTGATTGGACGTGACAGCGTGTCAAGTCCAATCCAGTCGCTCGGAGGCTGAACGAGCAGCGGGGTCTGTCACAGGCGGCCAGCGACACAGGCCAGCCGAGTTTGCGGGCGCAGCAGAACGCACACACCCCTGCTGCCACGGGGAGCAGAAACCCCCACGCTCGTCTACGCAGCAGACAGGGTCGGGGGCTGAGATGAGGGAGCAGCTGCTGGGGAGCAGACCCCAGCTATCCCGGCCCCACATCCAGTTGCCCTCGGGAACGGCACAGGCTGGCTCCCTGCAGAGAGCGGGTGTGTCCCCAGCCCTGGACGGAGGGGGCACCCAAAGCCTGCAGGCCATGCAGCTGGGTTACCGGCACGGCCAAGTTGGATGGAGCTGCCCCGGCTCACGGCAGTGAGGAGGAAGGATCGGATCAGAACCAGCCTGAGCAACAAGAATGGATCAACCTGACACATGGACTGACCTTTCTCACCCCTGGCAGACCACTGGCCAGCCCAGACAGCTCCGCACAGGCTGGGGGCACGCCATGGACACCAGAGACCAGGCTCGGGCAAAGCAAGAAGACCAGCGAGCGAGCTGCAGCCCAGGGTGCCACCTGGGGCCACGGAAAGGGCATGGCTGGCGCGGCCCCCCTCAGACACCAGTGTTGGGGCAGGGAGCAGCCAGGCAGACGAGGCGCCTGCTTCATAGAATCATAGAATATCAGGGTTGGAAGGGACCCCAGAAGGTCATCTAGTCCAACCCCCTGCTCGAAGCAGGACCAATTCCCAGTTAAATCATCCCAGCCAGGGCTTTGTCAAACCTGACCTTAAAAACCTCCAAGGAAGGAGATTCTACCACCTCCCTAGGTAACGCATTCCAGTGTTTCACCACCCTCTTAGTGAAAAAGTTTTTCCTAATATCCAATCTAAACCTCCCCCACTGCAACTTGAGACCATTACTCCTCGTTCTGTCATCTGCTACCATTGAGAACAGTCTAGAGCCATCCTCTTTGGAACCCCCTTTCAGGTAGTTGAAAGCAGCTATCAAATCCCCCCTCATTCTTCTCTTCTGCAGGCTAAACAATCCCAGCTCCCTCAGCCTCTCCTCATAACTCATGTGTTCCAGACCCCAAATCATTTTTGTTGCCCTTCGCTGGACCCTCTCCAATTTATCCACATCCTTCTTGTAGTGTGGGGCCCAAAACTGGACACAGTACTCCAGATGAGGCCTCACCAATGTCGAATAGAGGGGAACGATCACGTCCCTCGATCTGCTCGCTATGCCCCTACTTATACATCCCAAAATGCCATTGGCCTTCTTGGCAACAAGGGCACACTGCTGACACATATCCAGCTTCTCGCCCACTGTCACCCCTAGGTCCTTTTCCGCAGAACTGCTGCCTAGCCATTCGGTCCCTAGTCTGTAGCGGTGCATTGGATTCTTCCATCCTAAGTGCAGGACCCTGCACTTATCCGTATTGAACCTCATCAGATTTCTATTGGCCCAATCCTCCAATTTGTCTAGGTCCTTCTGTATCCTATCCCTCCCCTCCAGCGTATCTACCACTCCTCCCAGTTTAGTATCATCCGCAAATTTGCTGACAGTGCAATCCACACCATCCTCCAGATCATTGATGAAGATATTGAACAAAACCAGCCCCAGGACCGACCCTCGGGGCACTCCACTTGATACCGGCTGCCAACTAGACATGGAGCCATTGATCACTACCCGTTGAGCCCGACAATCTAGCCAGCTTTCTACCCACCTTATAGTGCATTCATCCAGCCCATACTTCCTTAACTTGCTGACAAGAATACTGTGGGAGACCGTGTCAAAAGCTTTGCTAAAGTCAAGAAACAATACATCCACTGCTTTTCATCCACAGAACCAGTAATCTCATCATAGAAGGCAATTAGATTAGTCAGGCATGACCTTCCCTTGGTGAATCCATGCTGGCTGTTCCTGATCACTTTCCTCTCATGCAAGTGCTTCAGGATTGATTCTTTGAGGACCTGCTCCATGATTTTTCCAGGGACTGAGGTGAGGCTGACTGGCCTGTAGTTCCCAGGATCCTCCTTCTTCCCTTTTTTAAAGATTGGCACTACATTAGCCTTTTTCCAGTCATCCGGGACTTCCCCGGTTCGCCACGAGTTTTCAAAGATAATGGCCAATGGCTCTGCAATCACAGCCGCCAGTTCCTTCAGCACTCTTGGATGCAACTCGTCCGGCCCCATGGACTTGTGCACGTCCAGCTTTTCTAAATAGTCCCTAATCACCTCTATCTCCACAGAGGGCTGGCCATCTCTTCCCCATGTTGTGATGCCCAGCGCAGCAGTCTGGGAGCTGACCTTGTTAGTGAAAACAGAGGCAAAAAAAGCATTGAGTACATTAGCTTTTTCCACATCCTCTGTCACTAGTTTGCCTCCCTCATTCAGTAAGGGGCTCACACTTTCCTTGGCTTTCTTCTTGTTGCCAACATACCTGAAGAAACCCTTCTTGTTACTCTTGACATCTCTCGCTAGCTGCAGCTCCAGGTGCGATTTGGCCCTCCTGATTTCATTCCTACATGCCCGAGCAATATTTTTATACTCTTCCCTGGTCATATGTCCAACCTTCCACTTCTTGTAAGCTTCTTTTTTATGTTTAAGATCCGCTAGGATTTCACCATTAAGCCAAGCTGGTCGCCTGCCATATTTACTATTCTTTCGACTCATCGGGATGGTTTGTCCCTGTAACCTCAACAGGGATTCCTTGAAATACAGCCAGCTTCGGACCGGGACCTGCTCTGCAGAGCGCCGCATGCCCATGACAGGGGCTCTTTCGAGCCACCAAAGCGCTGCCCCTCCGAGAGGGAGATGCCCGTACCTAGGCACGCAGCCACCTCTGAGAACGGGGCCTGGAGTGACCTGCCACGGCCCCTCGCTGAGTCAGCCGCGGCACGAGGAACTCTCCCTCTCCACCCAGCACCGGCAGGAGCCCTCCCCCGGAAGCCACCGCAGGGCCCCTGTGCGCTGACACCATGGGGAGACGCTGCTGGGCACAGGCAGGACGGGTCCCTGGGCCGAGTTCTCACGGGCTCGCAGTGCCCTGGGCTGTGCACTTCCCTTCACTCAGCTCCTTCCAGCCCCCTGGCTCAGCGTCCCCCACCTCTGGTGCTGAAACATGGCACCGCCGGCAAGGCTCCTGGCACCCCCAAACCACAGGGTGGCCATGCTGCGCTCACCCCACCCAGCCCCTGGTCACCCCATCACTGCCGTGCTCAGAGAGGCGCCGGACCCTGGCCACCCATGTAACCGGGGATGCCTCGCAAGCCCTCTAATTCAACCATCTTCCCATGAGCAGCCCAGGCCAGATCCAGGCTCAAGGCCTCCGTGGCTCGGACGACAGCTGCTGGCTCAGTCACGTGGCGGGAGCTGCCGACTGGACACGGAGCCTGGCACCCTGGAGAACAGGTCTGTGGGAAGGGGGGTTAACCAGGAGGGAGCAGGGACAGAGCGCCCCCTTGCCAGCCACACCACGGGGGCACGGTGACAGCAGGGAAAGAGGAGCTGCCATATGGCAAGGAGGCAGCTGAGAACCAAGAGCCGTTGGCTCCCGGCACGTGGGCTCCCTGGCGCATGAACGTCCCAGCTCACGGACCGAGGCAGCCACCATCCTAGGGAGGAGCTGACAGCGGGGCACCCAGCCGGGCCTTGCGTCCATGGCACCTGAACCAGGGCACTGGTCTGCCGGGGGAGCCAGCACCTCCCGCACCTACTGCCTGTCCTCCCGCCCGGGCCAGAGGGGGGGCATT